CCCAAAGTGTAAAACATTTTTCGGTCTAAAGTCTTATCAACACCCCCATCCTACCACCACCCCCACTACAACCAACACCACCACTAATACAACCACTAGTACATTAGTTTCAAGTTGCAATCAAACATAGGAGATCATTTTTTTAGAGAGAACATTTTATAGAAAAATAATTTTCGTAGAAAGGCTTGGCTCATAAGGTGAATTAGTTAAATCTTACCTTGTAGAAATGTGTAAAGATTACTAGTGGCGGTAATAACAAATAGGGCAATTTTGCCATCGGCACCTATGATTAATACAAGATAAAATAACAAATGAGAATGAAAATTATCCATTCATTATTAAGGAAAAATGAAGAGAAAAAGAAACATTTGAAAGGAAAAAACAGAGAATGAATTGAAAAACAGAGCAGTGTGTTTAATTAGTAAGGTACTGGTAATTTCAACATTCACAACAAACTGGAACTCTCTTACGATCCAAAAGAAGTAGACAGTAAACCCTCAGTTATGATCAAAATCTGAGATGATATTGGTAATGAGAAAATAAATAAATAAAAATAGTATGATAGATTTTGTGTTTGTTTGTTTGTACCTTTCAGTTGGCTGCTTATACTCATAAATCTACTTGAGGAATGTATTGGAAGTGGGCCAATATTCTTTTCCCTTTTCACACTTCTGTTTTAGTATTGGATTACATTTATATATCTCCAGTGACAACAACTAGGGAGGGAAGTCTTGTTCTGGAAAGGTCACAAGCTCAGGGCAGTAAAAGATTGATAGATGCAACAGAGAGAGAGGCAACCCTTCCTTCGAAAAGGACGTGAGCCTAGGGCAACTCCAGATTTCAAGTCTTTGGAGAGAGGCGAGGTTTTGAAGCTCCTCATAAGAGAGTCTTTCTAGATTTGGGAAGCTTTTGATGGTCAAAATGATGAGAGAGGTGGGCAGGAACATCCATTCTTCTGGAAAGGACACCGTATCTCCCCACGACCAAGCTGGGCCTTGAAGTTTGAGTGTTGTAAGAGAAGAGAGTTTGTGCAAACCCCACTCTAATGGAGATGGAGGCGGAACTGGAAGTTGACCGACATCATCCCATCTCAAATTCCCGATTTCGAGTGAAGTGATGTTGGTGGGGAAACTCCCTTCCTTGACAAAGTATGAGACCATTCGTGCTCTACAATCAACTAAACACAGCTTTTGAAGTGAAGTGAGTTGGTTCATGTTGCTGTTCTCATCACGACCACCAAGTGATGGGGGCTCCAGATTAGAACACCATCTTATCACCAATTGACTGAGATTCCTGAGATCATTGGCTTCAGGTAAAGATTTGAGACTCACACAAAATTCAATACAATTAGTTTCAAGAGATGGACAATCAATTTTGATCCCTTCCTCTGCAAAAAGTGACTCTAGATTTTCACACCACTTTATTCGAAACTGTTTTAGTGTGGATGGTAGCCCACCTTTTGACAATAAATATGTGAGTGATGCACAGTTAGAAACCCACAACTCTTGTAGATTATTGAGTGTCATCAACTCAGGTAGGGACTGCAAAGCATCACAATTTGAAACCCTAAGTTCTTTCAGCATAGAAGGCAAACCCTTCATTGGAAAAGAGATGAGACTTGCACAATCATGGATTCTAAGCACCCCAAGGGATGTGTATGTCTGCAGATCTTGTGGCAGTTTCTTCAGCATTCCACACTTTCAATTGTTAAATACTCGAGTGTCACGACCCCAAACCGCCCCTAGTAGTTTAGTACCGTGATGGCCAGTAATCTGAGATTACCGAAGGCCAACTTCCAAAAAGTTCACACACAAATGGAGTATAATTATATATGGGGCTCACAAGTGCGGAAGCAATAATCTTAAAATACAAGTGGTCCATAAGAGCCGTGTGTAAGTTACATGGAATGGCAAACAACTTTACATAATATTACAACTTGGATACAAATACAATAAAGTACAAAATAAATTTTACATCTTGATCAAAAGGCTTCTTCAACCGACATGTGTACATTACAAGCATTATAAGCCGAGAAGCATAATTTTCAAGACTGCCGACGTGAATACAAGTTAAGCCGACATAACAAAAACCCAAAACAAGCTTGCGAGTCACACCTAGGCGTCACCGCCTTCTTGTTCATCACCTACATATGTATATAGAGAGGGTGAGCTTGGATACTCAGTGAATGGTATAAGAAATAAAGGGGTTTGCATGACTGGTATTCAAGATCTTTATCAAACAATACATAACATAATTAGTGCGAGTCAAAGGATGAATCAAGTCCATCTAGCAAATCTGATAAGTTTCAAAGGATGCTTACTAACATCATTATAATACAAGTGATGACATCTCGGCAACCAAAACCCACGCGGTAAACCGTCAGTGGCAAACAAGACAAGGCAAGGCAAGACAAGGGAGATATCTCAATTCAATGGTGTCGTTGCATTATAGTCCCCGGACACTAAGGACTTGTGCTACTAACGCTTAGAGTCCCCTAGCACGTACGGACTTCCAAACTTTGTGCTACAAATGCTTATAGTCCCTTAGCACGTACGGACTTCCAAACTTTGTGCTACAAATGCTTATAGTCCCTTAGCACGTACGGACTTCCAAACTTTGTGCTACAAATGCTTATAGTCCCTTAGCACGTACGGACTTTCCAAGAATGTCATCAAAACGAGATATACATATATATACTTTCCAATTAGGAAATACCATTCATGCTTACAGATACTTTCCAAAACGAAGCAAAACAAGACTTTTATCAAAGCATTATAACATAGCTTTATTAAAAATGCCACTCACTTAGTTCTTCACACGTCGGGGTCGAGGCAAGTCCAAACCCTACAAACACATGGCAAAGTCTGTTGAATGCACTTTCAAACAAGTTTCATATGCATGCAGATGATCTCGGCATTCCTCAAGACTAAGTCAAATCAAAACAAACACATCTTTATCTCGGGGAAATCATGCTGGGCAACTGCCAGGTCTAGGCCGAGGTCCCACACCTCCTTGCCGAGGTGTTGCCTCGATGGCCACATTCAACGGAATGAAGTCGGGAAAAATCTGGGTTTCCCTTTCTTGAAGAACATGATGAACATGGAGAACATGAACATGAGGGAGATGAATGCAAAGATCGTGATTTGCTATAACAAAATCTGAGATTTCATGCTATGAGTTCGAAAACATGGACCTGGGTACCCATATTCAAGGATCTAGTGAGAACAAACACAAAAAACACGAAACTTAATGCAAACTTTCAGATCAAACAAGACCTTTCTTTCAAGAACACATGAACACCATTTTCTCTTTCTAAAACCAACTTTAAATCGATGCATGACATGCAAAACGGGTTCGATCATGCAATGCAGCTAGATGATCAATAAGAATGACAAGAGTAGATCAAGAATCTAACCTCGATACGCGAATCTAATGGTTTGATCTCTAGGAATCAAGCTCGAAACCCACTCTCTCACTCTAAACTTCTTCTTCTTCTTCGAGAGCTTCTCTCTCCTCACAAACAAAGACATATAGCAAAATGATACATTTCTAAGTCTGCTGGCTGACTTAACCCTCTACAGAGGCACGTGGCAGCGGCTGGTTGGTGCTACACAGAAAGGTGGCTGAGCGACAAGACAAAACTATGACAAAGTGTGTTCAACAAGCAAGACGACATGGGCACTCAGGCGAGTAATGATCTCGGCTAAGAACAAGACATCGACAAGTAGGAAATGATGACCTCGGCTAGGAAGGACAACACTTGACTGAGCTGTGCCATACCTTGGCCTAGATGTGCCACACCTCGGTCTAGGTCATACCACTCCGGGACAAGATCACTTGGGTGCAAAGGTAACATTTCGGCCTAGATGATTCACACCTTAGCCTTGGTAATGAACACCTCGGCCTAGATAATGACATATCGGCCAATATGTCAGGCCAAGGGTAGAGGTCAAACAAGGTGGTTCCAAGATAATTCTAGGCTAACATGACTTCGGCTAAACCTAAACCAAGCAAGGTACAAAACTTACTATAACACTTAAACGAACAAGGACAAGACTTGAAATGCAAGTTTACAAGACAGAATCACACGAATACATATGAGTATGGTTAGGATAGCGTGAGGGTTATTACATCGAGTCTCATCATGCAAGGCAGCCTTTCATGTTGCTGCTTTTTCGAACCTTCTCTTCCTTTTTCCTGCTTTTCTTCAAACAAGCAAACGAGTTTGGGGCAATGACAAATATTCAAATGGCAAAGGGAAGGAAGACATCAATGTTATGAGTTCTTGACAGTTACAAATATTCAATTTCTCGAGTCCTATCAAACCTTGAGTGAACCATGTCGGTAGGAATGCCAGTTTTTTAACATGGGAAATGCTCAAAGCAGTTATTGAAGTCAAATGCTTAGACATTTCATTAGCCAGTAACTCTTCATCAGTTGTGCTTGGATCGCAATGCATGTTGGGAAAAGATTAACCAACAATCGCCATATGATAAGTTGTGCAAATTGTGATATTTATCCATTCCCATCTGCTTTGCAACACCTCTGTCTCGCGTTGTCACAATGATTTTACTTCCAGGTGCTCCAACTCCAAATGGGGATTGTAACAAATTCCACCCATCATGTCCATAGTCCCACACACCATCTAGGACAAGCAAAAACTATTTCGCTGCCAACGTTTTGCTAAGTTGAACTTGAACCTCTTTTAAGTTACTAAAATTCCATGAACAGTGAGTGAATGACTCGAGAATTGCCTTTGTTATTCTCATAACTTCGAAGTCATTAGAAACACAAACCCATGCTTTTAGATTGAAATGCTTTTGCACTTGGTCGTGATTGTAAATGTGCTGAGTTAGTATAGTCTTGCCGATCCCACCCATGCCTACAATGGGAATTACATCAAAAGAAGTTCCAGTAGGTGCATCCCCAAATAGCAATTCCATAATTTGCTTGATGTCTTTATCTCTGCCATGAATGTGAGGTTCCTTCAAACATGTAGTTTATGATCTCTGCTGTAAATCTGTAGACATCCTCCCAACAAGTCTTTTATCTAAACCAAGTTCTTTTCCTTTTGTAGCAACTTCTTGTAATTGACTAGTAATCTCAATTAGCTTTGACCCATTTTTTAAATTGAATGGAACAATATCGGAGAGGCGTGGAAACTTAGCTGGTCTTCTTTTGATCGTCGTCTCGTCTGCCATTAGCTTCCTTTCGAGATCGTCAATGGCAAAATCATCCAATATGTCATCTGCATCGTAAGCCAAATGGTAAACCTCTTCAAGCCACTTTTTGATATCCTTGTGGTATATCTGTTTGTTCTCTGCATCAGCCAACAAAGTCTCTAAATCCTCTAATGCCTTCTTCAGATTCTGGATGCCAGTGCCAACATCCGTTGTGCTCACTATGTTGCTAAAATAAGAGGACAATTTATCAACCATAGCTTGTACAAATGGAGAGATAAAGATCCCAAATACATCCATGGTGTTTGTTCTGAAAGAAGGAAAGGTAATGAAACCAAGCAATACAGATATCAGAAACAGGTTGAAGAGCCTCTGCAAACTTGGAACGACTTTGGTGGTAAAGATAAGAATTTGAGTCAAAACGAAGCAATACAGGGATCAAGAACAGGCTGAACCTCTGCAAACTTGGAACAACTTTGGTGGATAAAAGATATGAAAGGTAGGAAACGAAGCAATACAGACATCAAAAACAGGTTGAAACTCAGCAAACTTCAAACAACTTTGGAATTGTAAAGGATATGAAAAGTCAGAAACTCATCAAAAACAAAGCAATACAGAGATAAAATAATCAAACAGTTCGAAGAAGCTCTGCAAACGTGCAGTAGCTGAAGATTGTAAGTTGTGACCAAAAGCAAATGAAAGTGGTACAAGAAGGGGCATGAAGAAATTAGAAATCGACAATAATGGAGTCTCATCTCATTGGCCATTTTACCAGTTTGCTTGCTACCTATTTTTTTTTTATATTAATTTCTCTGTATAATTGGTGGATGCGATCAGGAAGAGATAGGAATGGAGAGAGAGGCCGGCCTTTTATAAATAATGTTTAGGTAGCGTTTGATAACGTTTATGTGTTTTTTGTTTATATTTATAAAAAATTTATAAATTAATTTTTTTTTATTTTAAAAAAAATATAAATTACAAATGCGTTTGGTTTGAACAAAATATTAAATTTTTTTTAAAAACATGAACTAAAAAATATGTTTGTTCAGACTTAAAATATTTATATTTATTTTTTATTATTTATGATAATGGGATCATACATATTATAATTGAAAAAAAATTAATTAAAAAAAATTTGTTAGTCAAATTTTTAAATTTTTGTTTAAAAATCAACGCAAACTCATTTTTTGAGTATACGTTTTTTTCTTAAATTTGTAAACTGAGACAATTATTTATAAACCAAAAAAATTATCAAAAAAATTTTTATGACAATTTTTAAAATTTTTGTAAATATAAATTGAAAACTAAAATCGAAATGGTTTATCAAACAATATTGCTGAATTTTACTTGTTGGTTTCTAGTTTTTTTTTTTATTTTTAATTTTAAAATCATTTTTCTAGTTCTCTTATGAATTAGGTACAAATGTAAGAGTATGATAAAGCATAGGCTCACTAGCCATTTATATTCCACCACAAGTGCCTCTATAATAATCAAATTTCTGAAAAATCAAACATTTAAAAGTTAGGAACTTCTCTAAATTTGAGCTGTGTGGTCCCCGTGTTATGTTCCAGTAATTTATTAGCCAACTCACAGTTTTACCATTTCATTTCAAGAAAGGTATATATTTACACATATGTACATCTCAAATTGCCAATCTTTTTCAGTACCGAAACTATGCAAACCAACTTTACAAAAATGAGCAGCTGCAGTCGTTTTCAATACCCTCTAATATATGACTGAGGAAGGAATTCGTAAAATTTGTAATCTAATCAAATTCAGTCTAATTCGGTAGATTTGGATTGATTTTTTGAATCCTTGATTCGATTCTGGATTGAAAATTAAAAATTTATAATCCACAGATCGATTCCGGATTATGCTCCACGGTTCCGGATTACAATCAATCTGGACCGTATATAAATAACTTATATTTATATTATACACCCTCATGCATTGTATCTTCTCTTATTTCATATAAAACGTAAATCCTCATAGTATGTTATTTTATTGCTTTTGTTTATTGGTTTTTAATTTTAATTTGTAATGGTCTAAATACTTATGGTGGAACGAGCTTTCTTATGGTTGTTTAAATTTTAGAATAGTATGTCACTATTATGAAAAGACATGTTACTATTGTGGAACTAATATGATACTATGTTTATATTTTTATGAAATTAAAATATTCAATAATTTTTTTTTGTTATTTAATTATGTGAATCTGTAGTTCTAAACCGATCCAATCCGTGTTTAAATGGATTGATTCGAAATGATTTCACAATATAAACGGATTGAATTGATTCTAATTTTTCAATAACCATAACGAATTAGTCTCAATTTTATCCTAATCCAAATCAATCCGGACCATGTTCACTCTACTCTAATATGTATCCCCTTTCAACCCCACAATGTGCAGAGGTCATATACAACACAATACAACACACTCACCCAAGCCAAACAAAATGTCTCCTTATTCACACACTGATGCAATAATTTCAATTCAAGTAGTCGTATTCACCGAGATCTCATTTCTTGTCAAACGGTAAAGGTATCTTCAGACGCTGCAATGGCTTTAGTGCCAGGCCACAAGTTCGGATCACTGCACACAATAGTGGGAAGAAATTAGAAGAGATAAATGAGATTAAGCCTTTGGATATATATATATATATATGGTATGGATATATTATGTATGTTCACAAATATGTATTTCTGTTTTTTCCTTTTGAAAATCCCTTGTCTAAAAAAACGTTTTAGACTTGACTCCATAGCTATTTTCGAGGGGGCTTTTCCCAAATTAAGGTAAAATTGTAACTTATTTCTCAAATAGACTTAGTTTGGATGAAATTCCCAAACTAAGTTAAAACGCGGATACAAACCACGCTTTCAGCGTTTTTGTGCCCCTCCCACGGAAAATTTGTAAAATCTTAAAACGTGGTTACAAACCACACTTTTAATTAAGAAAACGTGGTTACAAACCACACTTTAAAGAAATTTAATTTATACATAAAGCGTGGTTAGGAACCACGCTTTTAAGTAAATTTTTTTTTTCTAAAAAACGTGGTTGCAAACCACGCTTTTACTGTTGACCAAAGAAAGCGTAGATGATAACCACGCTTTTAACTAAAATGTAAAAACGTGTTTTCAAAACACGTTTTCAATAATATATCAAAACCAGCACTCACTCTTCTTTCTCACACACACACACTCTCTCTCTCTCTCTCTCTCTCTCACACACACACACTCACAGACTCACATATATAATTTTTAATATATATAAATTTTATTTTATAAAATTGATACCAATATTAGATATATATAATAATTTATAATAGCAAATAATAATTTTTATATAACTTTTATAATTTTTGTAAATATAAATCATTTTTATATAATTTTTATCTTTCGAGTGGTTAAAAATATTTTTTTACAAATTAAATTGAAATAACCATACGTATCTATATAACCTGCCCAAAAGTTAAAATGATAATTATTTTTTACCCTTAAATGATAATTATTTTTTATTTTTTATTTCTTAACCAAATTAATTTTAATTTTTTTTAAAAAAAAATTCTAAAAATCAAACCATACATAGCCTAAAAATCTTTTGATAAGTCATTTCTGATGTTGGTAACTTATTTAATTATTTGTTAATTTTATGATATTTTTACCATCTGAGACATGTTTAGTAACCATTTCGTTCTCAGTTTTCAATTTATATTTACAAAAATTTAAAAACTATCATAAAAACTTGTTTGATAATTTTTTTGGTTCATAAATGGTTGTCTCAATTTGTAAATTTGAGAAAAAAACGTAAATTCAAAAAATGAGTTTACGTTGGTTTTAAACAAAAATTTAAAAATTTTACTAACAAATTTTTTTTTTCAAATAACTTTTTTTTTTCAATTAATTTTTTTTTCGAATTAATTTTATATTTTTTTTCAATGAATTTTTTTTTCAAAGGTGAGGGAGGAACTGTCATAAACATAAATCTCAAGGGGTGTCAGTGTAATTTACCTAAATAAAAAAAATTAATTTTAAGAATTAAAGTTATTATAAATTATTATTATATATATTTAATATTGGTCTCAATTTTATAAAATAAAATTTAGATATATTAAAATTTATATATGTGAGTGTGTGAGTGTGTGAGTGAGAGAGAGAGAGAGAGAGAGAGAGAGAGAGAGAAGAATCAGTGCTAGTTTTGATGTCTTATTGAAAACATGTTTTGAAAGCACGTTCTACATTTTGGTTAAAAGCGTGGTTATCATCTACACTTTCTTTGATCAACAGTAAAAGCGTGGTTTGCAACCACGTTTTTTGGGAAAAAAAAAAAATTTACTTAAAAGCATGGTTCCTAACCACACTTTATGTATAAATTAAATTTCCTTAAAAGCGTGGTTTGTAACCACGTTTTCTTAATTAAAAGGGTAGTTTGTAACCACGCCTTTAAGATTTTACAAATTTTCTGCGGGAGGAGCACAAAAACGGTGAAAGCGTGGTTTGTATCCGCGTTTTAGTTTAGTTTGGGAATTCCGTCCAAACTAGGCTTGCTTTGAGAAATAATTTGCTATTTTGCTTTAATTTGGGAAAAGTCCCCTATTTTAGACTTGACTGCATAGCTTTTTGATTTTAGAAGGTTTTGGGCTTATTTGGTTTGTATCTTAAGATATAATTTTTGAGAAATTTTTTTAAAATTTTGTTTGGTTCAAATTTTTTAAAAAACTTCTTCAAAATCACTTCTCTTTGCTACACATCAATTAATCACTTTCTCTCTCTCTTCTCTCTCATTCTCAATCACTTTTTTTCTCACACACATCTACTCAACTACAACAAACTATCAAATCATCCCAAACTCTCAAACTATTTTTAAAATATACAAACAAGCAAACAAAAATTTAAAACTCTCTTCAAATTTTTTTTTGAAAATTTATCTCAAAACACAAACCAAACACACCAATTATGTCCAAGGGCCTAACTAGCACTATGCCTCGGAACACCAACTTATCTGAAAAAAGGATGAGAACTTTGTTCAAGTAATTGCACTTCTACATCATTCATATGATCAAGTAACCAAACATACTCTCTCTAAAGGATGCTCTTGAAAAAGTAAATTCTGATAAATCAGCCACCTAACCAGCTACAAACGAAGACGTGCGTCATGGGACTTACCTTTTTTTATTTTAAAAAATCAAAAATCAAAAATCAAAATCAAAATCAAAATCATGAAATAAGGGTATGGGTAGTGACAGAGAGCTCTAATACTTGAGTTCTAACATGAGCTCTAGTGAGATGTCAAATAAAAAGAA